ACACCCGGGAGGCGTCGCGTCCTGGGGCTGGACACATACACTCACACACACTGAATCAAGTGTCAAGTTACCACACAACTAAGTGCTAAGGACACCGCTAGATATTATAATGATAGAATTATGTATTTTTAGTGTTTTTTTAGGTGGCACCCTTGTGCTGTGTTAGGTGGCATCCCTTGTGCTGTGTTAGGTGGCATCCCTTGTGCTGTGCTAGGTGGCACCCCTTGTGTTGTGTTAGGTGGCATCCCTTGTGCTGTGCTAGGTGGCACCCCTTGTGCTGTGTTAGGTGGCATCCCTTGTGCTGTGCTAGGTGGCACCCCTTGTGCTGTGTTAGGTGGCACCCCTTGTGCTGTGTTAGGTGGCACCCCTTGTGTTGTGTTAGGTGGCACCCCTTGTGCTGTGTTAGGTGGCACCCCTTGTGTTGTGTTAGGTGGCACCCCTTGTGCTGTGTTAGGTGGCACCCCTTGTGTTGTGTTAGGTTAGGTGTTGGCCTCACCTCATGTAAGGCCACACTTGAGACACACTCTACCTCCTGACAGCTGGATCTACGAGGACAACTGTTCCTAAATCACTGAGCTCTAACTGGTCTCGTGTTGGTCCTTTGTTCAGTAACGTGATGGGTGTGGTGAGCTCACCTTGGGGTTGGAGTATCGCCGGGTGCAGATGCCACAGTGTAGCAGCTGGGAGTCTGCTGCTGAGGACTTGGAGCTGCCTCCTGACGACCAAGCCTGATGGGCGTGGGCGTTTATATGAGGGGGGATGTGGGCGTGGGAGGGGTCGTGAACAGGACAGCCGTTAGAGGGGGCGGGAGGGGTGTTGGGGGCTAGAGGGACGCTGTAGGTGTCAACAGACGCGTGTTCCTCGTCACCGTCAACAACCTGAAGCAGCTCCTGTAGGAGGTTGTAAGAGAGTTGTTACCTCACAACACACAACACTTGTTGCTGTTGTGTCGTCACCTCACAAAACACAACCCTAACTTATTATTATTATTATTACTATTGTTATTATATTATTATTATTATTGTTATTATTATTATTACTATTATTATTATTATTATTATTATTATTGGTATTATTATTACACACCTTGGTAGGGTTAAGGCTGACAGGGGGTGTAGGGTGAGGGTCGTGGAGGTAGTCGTCTGAGGCCTCCGTGAGGGTGTAGGTGCGGCCCGCGTCAGAGCCTGGAGGTGGCGGGGCGGCCATACTGGGGCGTGAAGGCTGCTGGTGGCCCGCCTGGCGCCGCGCTGCAGCAGCGAGGTGAGCCGGGTACTGTGGGGGAACACAGGTGCTGTGTTAACAACTGAGAGTCTGGCTTACTAAAGTAGCTGCTGCTGCTGCTGCTGCTGCTGCTACTGCTGCTACTGCTACTGCTGCTGCTGCTGCTACTGCTGCTGCTGCTGCTGCTTGCGTGGCCTCCAGCCTACACAATAGCCACACCTTCGCCGCCATTTTATTACCTTAAAATTAAATATCCTAATACAAAATATCATAAATACATAAGAATGGAGGAAACCCCTAGTGCTCATATATCCATCCAACCTATGTTTGAAGCTATCCAGCGTATGAGAGTTAATGATGATGTTTGGTAACTTGTTCCAGTCATCCACTACTCTGTTTCCATAGTTGACATTTAGAGGGGGTGGGGGAGGTGGTCGTGCCCAGTTTGATTTAATAGAAATAAGATTGTGATCAGAAGACCCTAAGGGGCCAGAAATAGAGTATGAATAGTGTGAGGCGTTAGAGGTAAAACAAAGATCAAGAATGTTAGTAAGTTGATCATGTTGATCAGGATCACGTGTAGGGTGTTTGATTATTTGTTGCCGATCATTAAGTAAGGAAAAAGAGAGTGCCTCAGCTCCACCTGGGTCATCCCTTGCAGAGCCAAGCCACTCTCTGTGGTGTACATTGAAATCCCCTAGGTTGAGGATCTCGGTGTTGGGGTGTGTGGATAGCAACGACTCATGGCAAGAAGTGAGATAGTCAAAGAGTTCGTAATAGTTGGTAGAGTTGGGAGAACAGTATAGGAAACAAAGAAAAATAGTCACAGTTGGTAGAGATATTTTGAGCCAGATGACATCATAAAGGGAAGATTCATGATCCGTGAGTCGAGCTATAGGTGTATGTGTGTTGCAGTAGACGCATGCTCCTCCCTTAGAACGGAAGGAGGTATAAAGGTTGTTGTTGGAGACTTGAAAAGGTTTGGGTGAAGCTGCTTTGGTCAGTTGAAGGTCAAATAGTAGTAGTAAGAGGTCAGGGGAAGAGGTTAATAGATGGTGCTCCACAGAAGGAAAAGTGGATCTCAGTCAGCGAATGTTGGAAAAATAAAGTGTGAAAAAAGCCGATCCTCCAGCAACCGCGGTGGCGTCAATTGAAACCCCTATACAAGTAGTTTGGTGATGATCAGGTCGGCCCTGGGGTCCACAACCTTCCCGACCAGTGGGACCCATCCGAGAAGGTCCCGCTTTAATATTACTGTCAACTGATATCATTGGAGAATAAAAAAATTGAAAGAATAGAACAGATCAAGAGTGAGGAAAGTTGTATATGTTGTGTTGTAGAGAGTAAGAGAAACAATTGAGACCCTGCAATTGTGTGTAAATGAGGCAGAAAGTCAGATCATCAACCTGGGACTTGGTCACATATGGCAGCAGGGTCTACCATTAGACATCACATGCTTCCAATATCTTCCCAGGCGGTAGTACCTCCCTGTTTGGTAGCTGCCTACTACCTGTCGTATGGTGAGCCACACACGCATTGGGTGGACTACTACTACTTCTACTATGTACAATAACTCAAACAGTATCTGTCCACACTGTGTGAAACATTATGAGACCACTGGCGATAGATATTGGGCCATACATTTACTTTGGAATATAGTTCAACATAAGTAATGTAATGTGTATTTATTTGGGCGGAATTAATATGATGTTTGGTTACCAGATGTAGTAGGAACAGTCCGCCACAGAGCCACACATACCAACCCTCCCGGGACACAGAACCACACATACCAACCCTCCCGGAACACAGAGCCACACATACCAACTCTCCCGGGACACAGAGCCACACATACCAACCCTCCCACACATACCAACCTCCCGGGACACAGAGCCACACATACCAACCCTCCCGGGACACAGAGCCACACATACCAACCTCCCGGGACACAGGCCACACATACAGCCCTCCCGGGACACAGGCCACACACCCTCCTGGGAGCCACACCCTCCCGGGACACAGAGCCACACATACTAACCTCCCGGGACACAGAGCCACACATACCAGCCCTCCCGGGACACAGAGCCACACATACTAACCCTCCCGGACACAGGCCACACATACTGAACCCTCCCGGGACACAGAGCCACCACGCACACCCACATACCACCCTCCTGGGACACAGAGCCACACACTACCTCCCGGGACACAGAGCCACACGGGGGACACAGGGCCACACACACACAGAGCCACACATACCAACCCTCCTGGGACACAGGCCACACACGGGACACAGAGCCACACATACCCCTCCTGGACACAGCCACACATACCAACCCTCACGGGACATCCAACCCTCCTGGGACACAGAGCCACACATTGGGACATTGATGTTGTACCATTTCTGAAGTGATCAGACACATCCTGGCAGCTACTTTTTGAGATACTGTATTTATTTGTATAATAGTCTCTCTACCCCCCCACACCCACACCCACACACCCCTTCACACACCACACCCTCCCTTCACCCCAACACCCACACACACCCTCCCTTCCCCCTTCACCCAACACACCACACCCTTCACCCCACACCCCACACACACACCCTTCACCCCACACCCTCACCTTCACCCCACCCACACCCTTCACCCCCACACACACACACCCTCACCCCAACACCAACACCCCACACACACCCCTTCACCCCAACACCCACACCCACCCCTTCACACCCCCCCCACACCCACACACACACACCCACCCCAACACCCACACACACCTTCATCCCCACACCTCCCCTTCACTAACACCAACACACACCCTTCTCCAACACCCACACACCTTCACCCCAACACACACACACACCCTTCACCCCAGCACCCACCCCACACACCCTCCCTTCACCCCAACACCCCAACACACACACACCCTTCACCCCACACCCTCCCCTTCACCCCAACACCCACACCCTTCCCCCCTTACACCCTCCCTTCTTCACTTCACCCCAACACAACACACACCTCTTCACCCCCCACACTCCCCTTCACCCCCTTCACCCCAACACCAACACACACCTTCACCCCAACACCCACACACACCCTTCACCATTCACCCCAACACCCCACACAACACCACACACACACCCTTCCTCAACACCCACACACACCCTTTCACCCCAACACCCACTCACACCCTTCACCCCAACACCCACACACACCCTTCACCCCCACACCCACACACACCCTTCACCCCCACACCCACACATTATTATCAATATCAATTAGTAAAGGCCGTGTTGTCGCCTCCCTCCTATAGGAAGGACTAACAGCCAGCGGTGAGGTAAAACAGATGGCCTCCTCAGGACCTTAAGTGACCAAAGACCAGATGTTATCCAGGTCATATTAGGCGCTAGTGTCATTATCCTCACTCACTCTATGTCTCGTTGCTAAAGTGTCAACACCATAAATGATTTTTGTTTCTCGAGGATAACCTTACGTAATCTAAGGGTCAGGGTAGGTTACGTTAGATTTGGTTCGGTTAGGTCAGGTAAGATTCTAACCTGACCTAACCTAACCTAATCTAACCTTACCTGACCTAACCTAACCTTACCTGACCTGACCTAACCTAACCACACCTGACCTACCCTAACTTAACCTAACCTGACCTAATCTAACCTAACCAGACCTGACCTGACCTAACCTGACCTGACCTAACCTAACCTAACCTGACCTGGGGTGGGGGTCAGGAGAGAGAGAGAGAGAGAGAGAGAGAGAGAGAGTCAAGAAGAGAAAGTAGAAGAGAGAAATAAAGAGAAAGTAATCTGAAAGTTGTAGGCTGAGGGAGAGAGATAAAAACGACTTAGAAAACAAAAAAAATTACCCAATTGGTGGAGAGGTTAGCCAATCAGCGTAAAGATATCATATTACAATCCCAAGTTGTGTAGTACATGATAACTAAGTGTAGTACATGATAACTAAGTGTAGTACATGATAACTAAGTGTAGTACGTGATAACTAAGTGTAGTACATGAAAAAGAAGAAGAAGAAAAGTTTACGGTCACCGAGGACAGAGGAGGAGGAGGAGGAGGCCAGGGGTATACCTTGCCATATACGCCGCGGCCTTGTGCCCTTCTGCTCCCCCACCCTCCCCCCACCCCTCCCTTCCCGCTGTTCTCGCCGTCATCACTTACACACCGTAGGAGGAGAGGGGCGGATGAGGGAGGTAGTGAGTGGCTGTGTGTGCGTGTGCGAAAGAGGAAACACACACACACACACACTTAGACAACCCAGGATCAGGTGTTCTACCATTGAAGCTGTAAAAGAACTAGCCAAACAACTCTGAATCATTATCAACGCCTCTCTCAAACAAGAAAAATGGTCAGTTGACTGGAAGACATCATATGTGTTACCAGAGCCCAAACCATCCGGTCTACAATCTTTAAACGAGTTACGACCCATTGTCATACCCCCCCCCCCCCAATACCTAGACTAATCTGCTCTTATTTTGTATTTGACTGGACTTTTGTCAACATTTCAGGTGCCACAGATCCTCAGTAATGTGGCAATATGAAGACCTCCACCACCACCAATGGTCTCGTCAGCTTTCTCGATTTAATTTACAACAATCGAGAGAAACGTAAAATCTGTGGTTCGTCCTCAGAGATGTCACCAAGCGTTCAACCGAGTCAATCACAACATAACTACTATCAACCTTGAGTTCCGCGGATGTTTCATACCATGGTTAACAGACTTCCCAAGTGACCGACGCCAGGCTCCACGCTTCCGAGGGGCTGCCTCCACCTGTCAGTCACTCACCTTCGGTGTCCCCCAAGGCGCTAGGATAGAGCCGCTCTCCTTCCTCATCCTCATCAACGATGCCCTGAAAGATACTTCCGCTGGCTGGAAATATATCGACGACTCCAACTTTAGCAACAGTGTGAAAAACTCGGCTCCCGACTACAGCGCCCTCCACCACACAGCCTCAACAGTCTCCCACCACAAACCATGTCACCATCAACCATACCAAGACCATGGTTATGCACCTAATCTCTCCTC